CCTTTTCTTTCTTTTTCTTCTCTGATTGCTGTGGCTAGGACTTCTAAAACTATGTTGAATAAAAGTGGTGAGAGTCGGTATACTTGTCCTATTCCTGATCTTAGAGGAAATGCTTTCAGCTTTTCACCTTTGAGTATGGTGTTAGCTGTGGGTTTGTCATATATGGTCTTTATTATGTTGAGGTAGATTCCTTCTATGCCTACTTTCTGAAGAGTTTTTATCATAAATGGGTGTTGAATTTTGTCAAAAGCTTTTTCTGCATCTATTGATATGATCATATGGTTTTTATTCTTCAATTTGTTAATGTGGTGATCACATTGAGAGGTAGATTCCTTCTATGCCTACTTTCTGAAGAGTTTTTATCATAAATGGGTGTTGAATTTTGTCAAAAGCTTTTTCTGCATCTATTGATATGATCATATGGTTTTTATTCTTCAATTTGTTAATGTGGTGTATCACATTGATTGATTTGCAGATATTGAAAAATCCTTGTATCCCTGGGATAAATCCCACTTGATCATGATGTATGACCCTTTTAATGTGTTGTTGGATTCTGTTTGCTAGTATTTTGTTCAGGATTTTTGCATCCATGTTCATCAGTGATATTGGCCTGTAACTTTCTTTTTTTTGTGGTATCTTTGGTTTTGGCATCAGGGTGACGGTGGCCACATAGAGTGAGTTTGGAAGTGTTCCTTCCTCTGCAATTTTTTGGAATAGTTTTAGAAGAATAGGTGTTAACTCTTTTCTAAGTGTTTGGTAGAATTCACCTGAGAAGCCATTTGGTCCTGGACTTTTGTTTATTGGGGGTTTTTAAATTACTGATTCAATTTCAGTACTGGTAATTGGTTTATTCATATTTTCTATTTCTTCCTGGTTCAGTGTTGGGAGATTGTACCTTTCTAAGAATTTGTCCATTTCTTCTAGGTTGCCCATTTTATTGGCATATAGTTGCTTGTAGTAGTCTCTTATGATCATTTGTATTTCTGTGGTGTCGGTTGTAACTTCTCCTTTTTCATTTCAGATTTTATTGATTTGGGCCCTCTCCCTCTTTTTCTTGATAAGTCTGGCTAAGGGTTTATCAATTTTGTTTACCTTTTCAAAGAACCAGCTTTTAGTTTCATTGATCTTTTCTTTTCTTTCTTTCTTTTTTTTTCTTTTAGTCTCTATTTCATTTAATTCTGCTCTGATCTTTATGATTTCTTTCTTTCTACTAACTTTGGGTTTTGTTTGTCCTTCTTTCTCTAGTTGCTTTAGGCATAAGGTTAGGTTATTTACCTGAGATTTTTCTTGTTTCCTGAGGTAGTCTTGTATTGCTATAATCTTCCCTCTTAGAACTGCTTTTGGTGCACCCACAGATTTTGGATCATTGTGTTTTCATTTTCATTGTCTTAAGGTATTTTTTGATTTCCTCTTTGATTTGTATCTGTGGCTACAGTAGAGTCACAGACTGGTCTGCCCATGAGTTATTGGATCCCACTGACCTCTGATCTTCTGAACCAGCTCCCTGGAGCAGGGTGCTTATAACCTCTTATAACAAGGAGGCAAGTGGAAAGCAGCCTTCCAGACAAGTCTCAATCAATATCAACATATTGCAATGTTGTTTGGGTTGTAAAATACCTTTACTTCTTTAAGTGTTTTATGGCCTGCATCTTGGAGGACTGCATACTGACAAGATTGTTGGGTACCTAACACTGCACTCTTTTCAAGCTGACATCTTATGGGTTTCTGATGGCTTATGGCAGCATCACCTGCAAGCCAAACCTGATACAAAATCAAATACAAAAATCAATTTCATTTCTTTACATTAATAATTAACTCTCAGAAAGAGAAATGGAGAAAACAATCCCACTTGCTATTGCATCAAAAAGAATAAAATAACTAGGAATAAGTTTAACCAAGGAGGTAAAAAATGTGTACACTGAAAACTATAAAACATTGATGGAAGAAATCAAAGAAGACACGAGTAAATGGAAAGGTATCCTTTGTTCATGGATTGGAAGAATTAATATTGTTAAAATGTCCATACTACAGATTCAATGCAATCTATATCAAAATTCCAAAGACATTTTTCACAGAAATAAACAAAAGAATCCTAAAACTTGTATGGGACCACAAAAAGCCCAAATAGCCAAAGCAACATGGAGAAAGAAAAACAAGGCTGAAGGCATCATACTTCCTGATTTTAAACTATATTACAAAGCAATAGTAATCAAAACAGTAGAGTATTGGCATAAAAAGACACATCGATCAAAGGAACAGAATAGAGAGCCCAGAAATAAACCCATGCATATATGGTCAATTAATTTATAACAAAGGAGCCAAGAATATACAATAGAGAAAGGACAGTCTCTTCAGTAAATGGTGTTGGGAAAACTGGACAGCCACATTTTAAAAAATGATACTAGACCCCTATTTTATACCATACACAAAAATCAATTTAAAATGGCTTAAAGGCTTAAATGTAAGACTGGAAACTCATAACACTTAAGCCTAAGACCTGAAACTAGGAAACATATGGGATAAGCTCCTTATTATTGGTCTTGGTGATGACTTTTTGGAATTGACACCGAAAGCATAGGCAATAGAAGCAAAAATAAATAAGTGGGACACATTAAACTAAAAAGCTTCTGTACAGAAAAGGAACCCATCAACAAAATGAAAAGTCAGCCTTCTGAATGGGAGAAAATATTTGCAAATCATGTATCTGATAAGGGATTAATATCCAAAATATATAAAGAACTCATACAATGCAATAGCTAAAAAAACAAAATAAAACAAAACACAAAAATAACAAAAAACCCCACAAAACAAACAAAAATAAAACCCCACAAATAATCCAATTAAAAATGGGCAGAGGAACTAAACAGACATTTTTGCAAAGAAGACATACTCTTTTTGGCTCTGTGAATGAAACCTTAATAATGTATAGCAGAAACTGGACAGACTTATTCTTATATGAAAACAAAGATTTCCTATATTACATCTTATTTATATTTGCATACTGAAGAGGTAAAATGTCTAAATGGCTATTTTATAGTTCTTTCTAATAAAATGTACAAAAACAAACAGAATTAGTGAGAATGCCTTTTGGGGGCCTTGATGGTGACATAAGAATGGGCTTGGACTTGACCTGTGAATCCAAAATCCAGAGGTGCAGGTAGCCTTATGAATCAGGGTTAGCCTTAGGGGGTCAAAAACTATGGCTTTAGTTTCTCCCCAAACCTGTAACTGCTAACTCTTGGTGTGGTAGGGCTGGAGTGGAAGCTTCCCCCCAAACTGCTGCAGCCCCATATTCATTGCAGCATATTCACACTATCTAAGATGTGGAAACAACTGAAATGTCCATCAACAAATGAATGGATAAAGGAATAGTGGTGTGTGTGTATATATATTGGGTTGGCCAAAAAGTTCGTTCAGTTAGGGACTACGTTGTTCAATAAAGTTCTTCATGAAAATGAAAAATGTGTCTTTTATTTTTACTTAAAACTGAACGAACTTTTTGGCCAAGCCCATATATGTGTGTGTGTGTGTGTGTGTGTAGATACACACACACACACACGAATATTATTCAGCCATAAGAAAGAAGGAAATCCTGCTACTTGTGACAACATGGATGGACCTGAAGACATTATAAGTAAAATAAGTCAGACAGACAAAGACATACTGCATGATATCACTTATATGTGGAATAAAAAAAAAGTAAAACTTATAGAAATAGAGAGTAGAAACGTGGGTACCAGAGGCTGGGAATGGGGGAAACAGAGGTTGGTAAAAGCATGCCAACTTTCAGTTATAAGATGAATAATATCTGAGATCTAATGTAAAAAATGGTGACTACAGTTGATAACAACGGTATTAAATAGAGATTTGCTAAGCATAGAACTTAAATGTTCTCATCAAAAAAAAGAGAAATATGCGAGGTGAGAAATGTGTCAATGAACTAGCTAGTGGGAATCAAATGAAAGAAGAAAAACAGCAAAATTCCCACAAATATGTATATATATATATATATATATATATGAAATAGGAAAGATGTTGCCAGAAATGCACTACCTTCCAAGAGATTCAAAGGGGATTGTGTCCCTATATAGGATGGGATGCTGTGTTTTGAAGTGCTACTGAGACAAGCTTATTCCCACTCCTCTCCCTCCTCCTCTTAGGACAATAGAAAAAAGAGTCCCTCTCTACCGTCTGCTTGGGAAACCATGTCTAAGTTGTATTTAATTCTGGATAACACAATTGGGCTGGGACACTGACACACTGGAGAGTATTTTCAAATCACCATGATGGTGCGTGGACTTGAAACCATATCAATAGAGGCAGGGAGTAAAAAAAAAATTCTTCCAGGGAAGGAGGAAAACATCTCTGTACTGTACAAAACGGTATTCACTCAATATATCTGGCAGCAGTTGCCTCATACCCGTGTCCTTCACTGTTGTGTCCCTTGCTCTTGTCAACTGCCATGCACATAGTAGGTGCTCAAACAATGTTTGTTGAATGATTAACTTACCATGTACTCTTGAGGGCATGATTGCCTGGTAATAATTTAAATTAACTACTAAATCTGAAGGAAACATTATTACAGTTCTTTGGGGACGCAGTGCCTGAATCTCGGCTCCCGCGTCGGCGCATTCGGTCATGCTTGGTGCCCGGAGGCCTTGCCAGCGATGACCTTTCTTTCTTTCGACCTTTTCCTCCCTCCCGTCTCCAGTCTGTAGATGACCCTGTGGTCACGAGGTCGCGACAGTCCGCGCCGTTTTGGAGACGAGCGGGTAGTGGAGAGAGAACTACATTTCCCAGCTGACTCTCGTGCGCGCGCCCCTGCCCGCGCACGGAGGAGAGTGCACCCGGCGCTCGCTCCCCGCCGAGCTCTCGTCGCCCGCCGGAGCCTCTGCCAGGGGATGAGGTGGGTGGCGCTAGAAACCACTTAGCTATAGCCAACCGCCCAATGCAGCACTCGCTCGCTCCCCCCGCCAGCGGAAGCGCCCGCGGAGCACAATGCAGCACTGAGGCAGCGCCGCGGTGGAGGCTGCAGCGCCGCGGTCGCCGCAGCACCGGCCGCGGCTGGGAGGGGGCGGCCCAGGCGAGCTGGGGCCGCGGGGCGCGGGATCCGGACGCGGCTGCCCGGGCATGAGGAGCTGAGCGTCTCGGGCGAGGAGGGCTGACGGCTGCACCATGCAGGCGGCGGCGGCTGTATCCGTGCCCTTCTTGCTGCTCTGCGCCCTGGGGACCTGTCCCCCTGCGGGCTGCGGCCGGGCAGGTAAGTTCGCCGCCCTTTGTGGCTCCAGGACGTACCATTTTCCGGGCATCTTTGCAGCCCTCAAGCGCATTTGTAAAGAGGCATCCCCATTTCCCGAGTGCGCAGGGAGATTTTTTTGTTTTTTTAGAAGGGTGGAGAGAAGTGAAGCAAAAATACGGTGTGGATGCATTAGAAGCTTTAGGTCAAATGCCTGTTTTTCTTCTGAAGTACAAGAGGAATGCGGAGGATGGGAGAGGGGTGCTCTGCTTCTGGGCCCCGATCCTGGATGCTCTCAGATTAGCTGGTCCAAGGCTCTGCGTCTTGTGTCTCTGCATCCTTACCAGATGGGGTCCGGGAGGGAGGGGGAGGTGGGATCTTCATAAGGGAGACGTTGGACCGCAGGGTGGACGATTGTGGGTCAGGGTCATTATTTTCGCCTTTTCTCCCCAATTCCTCCTTCCCCCTTTCCTGCCTGGAGGAGACGCCTCGTTCACGGAGCTGGAGAGGAGGAAGGAAAACCGCTTCCTGGAGCGCCAGAGCATCGTGCCACTCCGGCTCATCTACAGCTCGGGCGAAGACGAAACTGGGCACGACGCGCTCGATACGCGGGTGCGGGGCGACCCCGGCGGCGGGCAGGTGAGAGGCGTGGTGCTGGGGGTGGTCCTCCGCGCGGCCCGGCCCACCCCGACCCCTCGTTTGCTCTCCGTTGCCCTGGAGATGCACTGTCTTGGGTGAAACCAGTGCAATTCTAATGCGAGTCGTGCGTGGCGCTCCCTGTGCAAAAAAGAAGAGAAAGGGGCGACAAACCCCAAAAGAGCCACAGGCCGGGGGCATTACTGGAGAGGAGTTTGTGCGGGTTGCCTCCAGTTGTGTGGCAACCTGAGCGAAGGGGCGGAGACCCTCTTCACCTCTGCCAGGCAAATGCCATGCATAGGCAAGAAGGGATATAATATTTGAGCAGGATGTGCATCATCATTATCGTTGTTGTGGTTGTTTTAATTTTCAAAGAGAAGACTTTATGTGATTTAAGCCAAGATTGGAAAAACAAGCCTAGACATCCCTAACTAAACTCAAACCTTAAAATTAAGCCGAACTGCAAGGTTCTCAGCTCACTCAATTTGTGGACATCAGAGATGTACCCATTCACCTCCACCTTCCAGAAAAGGTGTCTGGCTCCCCCCTTTCTTCATTGGTAGCAGTCCTCTTGGTGTAATTAGGGCCCTGTTGCTTATTGGGCATTTATAAAGTATGTTTTTAAATAAAAATCTAACTATCGTTTACCCATATTTAGGTCAATATCACACATTCACAGATATACTTGAAAATTATTTTGAATTTACTGGTTAATTTAAGTAAGTATTTGGGGGCTATGTAAGCATTTTTTGTATTTACATGTATCAACCTGGCAACCAGTTCACCCACCTGTAAGTACATATTAAGGTGGAACTTGTTCATGTAGTTGAAAATTTTGCGCACTTCACTGAAGCAAAGGCAGGCTGCACATTTTCACATGTATAAATATATTCTTAATATTTTAAGATGTATCTTGATGACTCAGTAATTTATCTGTAAGTGTAAAATAAGTAAAAATAGAAAAATGCTACTTAAATCTGTATTTGTAGCCAAGTACTTAGTTCTGTTAACATTTTAACATGAAAGAAATTAATTTAAAGGGCTATAGTACTATCCATTAGTTACATTATTATAGTAGAAAATCTAATATGCCAAGCATTAATGAAGAATCCCATCATTTGAATTGTTTGGTAAATACCTATTTTATTTATTTTTTATTTGAATTTTATTTACTTCTTTGAATTAATGTTTGAATTAACCTTTTCCATTTTGACTTTTTTCCATAATAAGACTGAAAAAGCATAGGACACTGTCTTATTTTTTAATACATTAGAATTATTTCTGTAGAGGAATATTCTCACGCTCAGTTACAACTTTTGATTATAAAAAATTTCACACACACAAAAGTAGACAGACTATTATAATGGACTCCCCAGCTTCAACCATTAGCAACTCATAGCCAATCTCGTTTTATCTACATCCTACCTATTTTTTCTCCCTTTCTGTATTATTTTGAAGCAAATCATATCATTTCAGTTATAAAATTTCACTATGCACCTCTAAAAGATGAAGATTTTTTAGAAAATGTAACCATATTATCATAGCTAATATGTATTAAATATATAAATGTGCTAAATATATGTAAATATATAAAATAGATATATAATTATTATATATATATTTAAGTTTGTTTGATCCGGGACCCAGATAATGTCTATAAACTGCAATTAGGTTTTTTTTTTGTTTTTAAAGTCTCTTTAATGCATGGTTTCCCCCTCCATTTCCTTGCTTTTTTCCATGCAATTTATTCATTGAAGATGTGGGGTCTTTTATCCAGTAGAGTCTTTCACAATCAGAATTTTTACTGATATAGGCGGTGCTTTAAAACAAGTCGCAAGGAGTTTCTCAGAGAGGAAGAAAGTAGAGATGCAGAAAATGCTGCAGGATCGCACCTCTAAACTCTGGAGTCTCTGCCTCATGCTGGTGATGTCTTTAGGTACCCTCTGCCCTTCTCTGTGTTGGTAAAGACCACCACTCTTGGACAGCAGGCAGTCCTCCTTTTTCTCCCCATTTCTGAAATACCACTTCTGTAGATTTTTTTGGTTCCTGGGCCTCTCTACTTGGGACAGAAGATACTTGGGGCCTGTGCACCTTCTACTTCCTATAAGAATAAACCTCACTATTGAGAAGAATGACTCTGGCTTTTGGTGAAGTGTGAATGAATCGGTAGGATTTAGGTTAAACAGTGTGAGTAGATTATTCATTCAAGTCAGAAATGAGAGTGAAGATCCTGTCTTATCATCAAAGTAATTATGACAAGCAATTATCTCACATGGTGAGGTATACATAGTGCATCTGGTTGGATGCCTGGATCACCTGGGAGCTGTAGCAGTTTACCATGCTCCTCAACTACAGTTAGTGATTACTGACTAGTAGGATTGAATCTGGCAGTTAGAGTTGTAAAGACTTAGTTGTCATAAGCCAACACTTCCTACAGTTAGGAAACTAAGGAGCGGTCCTGCAATTTGTCATTTCTTGTTTCGTTGAGAGCTGTCATTGAACCCCGAAACATAAGTTAATTCCGTATGGACCTTGTTATTTCTTTGGTGATTAAAATAGACATAATTTATACTCATAAATATGTTTAGCAACTTCCTTTCTACTTCAGAAATAAAATTAGGATGTTCTTCTATCAGCTCACAAAGGTATATATTGATTTGTGTATTTGTTTATTAAAAAGGCATTTCTATACTTGAGCTCATACTGTGTACCAATTGTTTTGCAAGACCCTGGGGATTCAGAGGTAAAAGACCCAGTTCTAGCCTTTAAGGAATTTACAGACAGGTAGGAAGATGGATGAATGGATAGGCAATTACACTCTGTACTTGTGTGTGATTTTCTGGAGGTGATCACAGAGAGCTGTGGAAGAGAGAAGACAGTGCTTAACCCAGGTGAGCAGTCAGGGCTCTCAGAGAGAGGTGTTATCTGAGCTGTGTTTTGAGGGTGAGTAGGAAGTGGCCAAATTAAAAGGAAGGGGTGGGCATATCAAACAGAAGGGGCAGGAGGTACATGGGCATGTGACATCAAGACACATTTTAAACTGCAAATAGGATTTAAGGGACAGATGAAACAAAACAGGAAACCAGAAAATAGATGCTGCAGCACCTTCATGACTTGCTGAGGAATTTGGACTTGTCCTGAAAGTGATTCAAGGATTTCAGTAAGGAGAGTTACTGACCAGATTCATGTTGTCGTGGAATAACCCTAATTGTTAGAAATGAATAATCTTTTTGTTTTGCTGCATTGGGTCTTCGTTGTTGTGCGTGTGCTTTCTCTAGTTGTGGCAAGCGGGGGCTACTCTTCATTGCGGTGCATGGGCTTCTCATTGCGGTGGCTTCTCATTGCAGAGCACAGGCTATGGGCGTGTGGGCTTCAGTAGTTGTGGCACGCGGGCTCAGTAGTTGTGGCTCGCGGGTTCTAGAGCACAGGCTTAGTAGTTGTGGCGTGGGTGCTTAGTTGCTCTGCGGCATGTGGGATCTTCCCAGACCAGGGATCGAACCCATGTCCCCTGAATTGGCAGGCAGATTCTTAACCACTGCGCCACCAGGGAAGTCCCAGAAATGAATTATCTTAATTTCAAAGGCTGAGTGAAAGTGGTTGTTCACTTTAATTCATTGTTAAATGCCAATTCACATACTCATTAAGCTTGTAAGAACTTAGTTACTAAGTATACTTAGCTGCTTAGTGTAAATGAGTTAATATTTGTAAAGCACTTAGAACAGTGCTGCATATTCTGTAAGAACTATATGAGTTTTTGTTAAATAACATTAACTCCCCCAGGCTGCTTGAGTACTGTTTAGAAATTTTATGACATTGCCTTAATGCAAAATGGTGCCCTAATTACCTGAATTTAACACATTCCCAGAAGTTACAAATTACTCGAATTTACATAAGTTGAATCTTAACAGTTGTAGAGATGGAAGAAATGTTATAAGTCATCTAATCTAGTTCAAGAATCACTTCTCACCAGGTAAGACAGAGCCATTAACCTAGAGTAAGGAAACCAGCAATGTTTTACTTAATATTTCAGAAAGCTCACAAGAACTGTGATGGTATAAGACACCTTAATTTTACTTTTAATGTGTCCTTACTTCAGTTTTCATCACTAAATGGAACTGCACAGTTATATTTTTGGAAAAAAATTTAATATTTTAGTTCTGTGGAAATACTGGCAGTTTGATTGGTATGAAATAATCATTCTGTTTGTATGAGTCCATATTGTAAAAGATTTCTTTACTATCTGGCCAGTTACTTGAACGCATACTTTATTTTTATCCTGAATCAGATGATCAGCCCATACTGAAAGCTTATTGTGCCATGAAGTTCTAGAAATGGTAGTCAAAGAAATTATATTTGATTGTGGGTAACCTTGCTGTCCTAAAGATTGTCTGCCTAGTCTGAAGTAATTTCAGTCCTGTAAAATAGCACTCAGAACTAGAATATTCAAAGTATTTCAGTCTTCCTTTCCTCTGACTTGAAATTTTTTGTGCTGAAAAAATTGTATGTTGCAGATAATAGGATAAAATATATTTTTAATTGGACACCCATATGGGCAAGATATCACCTACTGAGTCCTACTGTTGGTTTGATACTGATGATCACATAATTTCTGTTTTTAAGAGTAAGCACCTTAATGGTTACTCCTTTTTTGCAAGCCAAGCATGATAGTTTTACTGTAGCATCAGAGGTTATTTGGTGGTTTATTTTGCTGTGTGGTCACCCCATACATTTTCAGTAATTTGTTTTGCAGCCAGTAATTGCTTTTCTCTACAAGTAGCAGAATTTCTTTTTGTCAGAAGTCTTTATTGCCAGTGAATAGAGAGGCTACTTATTTTTCTATCTCATTCCCTGGAAAGTGTTGTAAGCTTCTCAAGTAGTCAAGTGCCAAGAACATAGATCTGCCATTTATTATAGTTTTGATAATCAGTAATGAATGGGGAAATGCAAGATGGTCGCAGGATGGCAAGCAGTAGCTGTGCTCCATTCGTTTTTTAATTAATTAA